TTCCCATGAAATGTTCTCTAGTAAATTTCATATATCCTTTTGTTCTTCCTATTCTCCTCATAACAGGAAGTGTAGGTCTCTATAGCAACTTAAAATCCATCCTGGTAATGGTGAGGTATTTTGTTAAAAGCGAAGGCCCTTCTGTACTGTGATCAAGTTTGTCTCTGAATTACTCTGATTTCTTCTTTCCTGATCCATCCTCGACTCCCAGGACTAAGTCCTCGTCTACACTACGAGTTTAGGTCAAATTTTGCAGCGTTAGATCGATTTAACTCTGCATCCCTCCACACGACAAAGCGATTTTTGTCGTCTTAAGGGGGTCTTAAAATGAATTTCTGTACTCCTCCCCTGACGAAGGGATTACCACTGAAATCAACATCACCGAGTTGAATTTGGGGTATTGTGGACATAATTTGACAGTATTGGCCTCCGGGAGCTATCCCGGAATGCTCCATTGTGACCATTCTGGACAGGACTCTCAACCCAGCTGCATTGGCCAAGTAGACCGGAAAAGTCTGGCGAACTTTTGAATTTTATTTCCTGTTTGGCCAGCATGGCAAGCTGATCAGCACAGGTGACCAAGCAGAGCTCATCAGCAGAGGTGACATGGAGTCCCAGAATCGCAAAAGAGCTCCAGCATGGACCGAACGGGAGGTACTGCCTCTGATCGGTGTATGGGGAGATGAATCCGTGCTATCAGAACTCCGCTCCAAAAGACGAAATGCCAAAATATTTGAAAAAATCTTCCCAGAGTCACTACCCTTGATAGCTGAATGTCAGTGATTGCATTGGCTACTTGAATCACAGCAGTCCCCACAGTCGATTTGCCCACTCCAAATTGATTACCAACTGACCGGCAGCAGTCTGGCATTGCAAGCTTCCACATGGATATGGCCACTCACTTCTCAACAGTCAGGGTAGCTCTCATCTTGGTATTCCGGCACTTCAGGGTGGGGGAAAGTAACTCATAGAGTTCCAGGAAAGTGGCCTTACGCATGCGAAAATTTCACAGCCACTGGGAAACATCCCATACCTGCAACACTATGCGGTCCCACCGGTCTGTGCTTGTTTGCCGGGTCCGGAATCGGCGTTCCACTGTATCAACCAGCCCCACTGCCGCCGTGATGTCCCAATTGCCACAGCCCGTGCTTTCACGAACGTCTGTGTCCATGTCCACATCACAATCGTCCTCGTGCTGCCGTCTCTTGGCCAGGTTCTGCACATACCGCAGGATAATGCGTGAGGTGTTTACAATGCTTGCAAGAGCAACGGTGAGTTGGGCGGGCTCCATGCTTGCTGTGCTACTGCGTCTGCACCAGGCAAAAAGGCGCGAAATGATTGTCTGGAGTTGCTTTCACAGAGGGTGGGGAGAGTGACGACATGAACCCCAAACCACCCGCAACAATGTTTTTGCCCCATCAGGTATTGGAAGCTTAACCCATAATTCCAATGGGCAGCAGAGACAGCGGGAACTCTGGGATAGCTACCCACAGTGCACCGCTCCGTGAGTCGATGCTAGCCACGGTAGTGAGGATGCACTCCATTGTCTTAATGCGCTTAGTGGGGACATACACAATCAACTGTATAAAATCGATTTATAAAAATCGACTTCTATAAAATTGATCTAACTTCTTAGTGTAGACATACCCTTAGACATGTCAGATGTCTTCAAGTTACCAGGGCCTGATGAAATACGTCCTAGAATACTCAAGGAGCTGACTGAGTTGGTATCTGAGCCATTTGTGATCATCTTCGACAAATTACGGAAGATGGGAGAGATTCCAGAGGACTAGGAAAGGCCAAATATAGTACCCAGGTATACAAAGGGAAATAAGGACCACCCAGTGAATTACAGACCAATCTGCTTAACTTCAGTACTTAGAAAAATAATGGAGCAAATAAGTAAGGAATCTATTTGCAAACACCTAGACGATAACAAGGTGATAAGTAGAAGTCAGCATGGAGTTGTCCAGAACAAATCATGTCAA